TTTCCATCACTTGTGGGGGCTCCCTTTCATCCTCACAAGGCAGGGAGGTGCCTCGGGTCTGGTTTAACCCCCTGAACGTGTGGGAGAACTGAGACCAGAGAGAGGCTGTGATCTGGAACATCTGGAGAGGTGGCGGCTCCTAGATTGGAGTCAGGTCCCCTGGCCCCTCCGGGGTTCGGTCCTGCGGCCCAGCGAAAGTGAGCTGTGATCCTATAAAACCACCAGTCCCTGGGCGACAGGAGCAGCTCGAGGTGCGCAGGGAATGGCGAGAGCCATCCCGGGTGAATTGATTTCGCGTGAAAACAACGGATTAGTGTCTCTGTGCTGCCGTGTCCCTCGGGATCAGCAGGACCTGCGGAATCCTCGGGCTCAGGAAACCGGGCGGGGCCAGAGCCCGGCCAGGGGCCCCCGCTGGGAGCGGCTCACTTTCCGACCTGGGTGTATGGGTGGGCAGGGGGCCAGGGCTGGAACCAGGGACCCTCGCGGGACCGTGCAAGCCCCCCGACCGCTCCAGAAAAGGGAGGGGACCCCCGCCCTCAGCTCCACCCACCCCAGCTTCCCCCACCCCCAGCCTGCCAGACTGCCTGTTGGGAAGGCCTAGGGCTGAGCCACCGCTGCCGGGCAGGGCCCGGGGATTTGTCACATTTTTCCCGGGTTAATTACCTCGGGGCGGAATCCGAGCCCTGTCCGTCTGGGCACAACACGCCTTGTCGCCTGGTGGGGGCATCTCAGTCTTTCTCAGGTGACAGCTGCTGGCCCGGGACAGAACTGTCCTTATTCTGGGGGCGCCACCTCCCCAGAGGACCCCAGCTGTCCAGCCGTGGGCGGAGCCTAGCAGGTGCGAGGCGGGGATTGGAGGCCGCCCAGGAGTGGGGCGGGGCCCGGGCCTGAAAGGCGTCCTCCTGGGCGGCCCACCCCGGGGAGCCCCACCCACTGCACTTGCCCTTTCCGTCTACCAGGGGCAAATATGTGACCTTTCCATTTTTGCCCTGGCTGAAGGAGTCTTGGTGTCCAGCACAGCGCTGGACACTCAGCAGGCACCCGACACCCGCCGGTGGATGGCGAGTCCCCCAGCCTGTCTGTGTCCCCAGGGAGTCGTGTTCCCCAGCTCGCTGGCAACTCCCTCCACGGCCGAGAGGGGTCACATGTGCTGCTGGTAGAAACTCAAACATCCTGATGGATGTATTTTTCACTTCTAAAGATAAATTAGAACAGATTGAAGATGAGTCCTGATGAAATGTATCAAATGCTCCCTTGAGCTCTCAGTGGGAGAGAAGGAGAGGCAAACCTCCAGGACACTTGATTGTCCCTTCTCTGGTAATGGCCTCTGTGTTCAATTTGGGGAATGACCTTGGGCTGACCTTTCTTGCCAAGGGGCACATGTGAGCCCTGGGTGGTCCCCAGGACTGAGTCCCTCTCCTGGACTTTGCATCCTGCCTGAGGACCGGGGGAAACCCGTCCACTGCCAGATGGCCCTGCGGCATCCCATGAGAAGTCGTCCTACTTTTTGCCCTCTTCATGTCCTGTTCTTCAGCCATTTCTTAGGTTATATGGATCTTCCACTTCTTTCCAACAAACTCCTTTATCCTTTTGGTTAGCAATCCATTTCCATTGCCTACAACAAAAGCATCCTAATTGCCCTGCCTGAGTCACAGCCCACGACTGGGAATGTACCTAACTCATCATCTGGGCTCCCTTGGGGAGCAGCTCAGTGAATCTGTTCAGTGTGGAAGAATCCTCAATCCGTCCTCAATTTTATAGATGCAGAGCTGAAGTTCCAAGGAGTCCAAGATCACACAGACTCACGGGATCTCTGAGTTAAAAGGGAACTTAGAGTCATTCATCAAACATTTCATCAGATGCCTTAATTTCCTCTGAATGAATTTCAGCAAGTGACCATTGAAAGATGTGTGAACGCCTCAGTGACAGCAAAACAGTGTCTAAAAACAGTGAGGCTATTCATTCCGTCTCCAGACGACCTGGTTTAACACCCTGCCTGATGCTCACCTGAAAGCTTTCTCTGTGGCACCCACCTTTTCGAGTTGCGCACTACAAATTCTGTTCCTCTTCCACCTGACAGCCCTCAGGTGGTCCAAGACAGCGGCACACTCCCGAGATTCCTCTTTCCCAGGAAGATGCCCCATTTCTACAGCTCTTCCGCCTGTAGCAGGGTTTTGAGGTCTTCAGCACCCTGCCCACTGTGCTCTCAATGCATTGCTGTCCTCCCAACGTGTCCCTGAAGTGGAACAGACCACCCAGTAGCGGGCGTCTCCCACTGTTCCAGTACAGAGCTCACTGGGGACCTGAAAATTGTTTGTACACACAAGCGTACACCTAGGTAAACATTTGCTGGACTGCTCAACTAAGATTTGTGCACTTTATTGTATGTAAGTTATAACTCAATGTGAAAGTTTAAAAAATAAAAAAAATACAGTCTATTAGGTGAAAAATATTCTTCCACGTGCACGTAGAATCATCTCAAATACTCACACCACACTTTGTGAAGTAACTGTGTAGTTAGTGCCCTTGCCTTATGGCTGGGGAAAGTGAAATTCAGAGGGGACTCATGTTCATAAAGAAGAAAATTTAAACAGGGAAGTATACTTTTTAAACATTTTATTTACCTCATGGAGGTGCTGGGGATTGAACCTAGGACCTGGTGCATGCTGAACACTCACTCTGCCTCTGAGCTTTATCCCTCCCCCCAGGGAAATTTACTTTTGAAGTAAAATAACTATTCATTGTTCTTTCCTTACTCACCCCTGTGAAAAACAAGCAAACAATGAACAGAAACATTTGTACATTTGTCATTTCTTTATCTATCATCTACTGCCCCCCGTCCATCCATCTGTCCGTCACTCAGGTGAGAGCAGACATCTGTCATTCTGCCTGCTTCACATCCCATTGGTCCTGATGGGAGTTAATCAGAGGTGGGCACACGAACCAGGCTGGCCAGTCAGAGTTAGCCGCCACCCTGGCCACCCTGATTGGCTGATGCATCAATCTGTGACCCAAGCCTGGCCAATTAGAGTCAGCCCTGAGATTGGCCACATGTATGCTACCACAGGTCACTTTTCCTTTGGAGTCCACAAGCCATGAAGACGTAGGCCTGAGGTGGTGAGCAGCTTCTTTTCAACTGTGTGAAATGACCCAGTTCACAGAGGAAAGCACAGCCAGAGGTGGAGAAAGTGACAGAGCCCTAAGGACACCAGCTTATCTATTGGATCCAGCAGTGCCTGAAGCTAGTTCTACATGTGGACTTTCCAGTTATGTGAGCTGATACATTCCTCTTGCTTTGCATTGAACCACATGAAACCATCATTTTTGTATGTCAAAAATCAGTCAAATACTGGCAGTTTTATATGGTGTGGCTTAATAACTTAAACACGCTCGAGTTAGATTTCTAATACAGTTAGCATCCTGACTAATTCAAGTAGGCTTTTAAAATACTAAGCTTTCTATTCTGAGATAAGTATAGATTCACGTATCATTGTAGGAAGCAATACACAAAGATCACCTATGCTCATTGCCCAGTTTCCCCCATTCTAGCATCTTATAAAACATTAGTGCAATATCACAACCAACATATCAACTTGAGGCCACCAAAACACAGCATTTCATCACTGCAAGGCTTCCTCATGTCCCCCTTTCATAGTTACACCTGCCTGCCTCCCACCAGCACGCCCTCCTTAACACTTGGAAACCACTAATCTGTTCTCGTTTCTACAATTTTGCCATTTCAAGAATGTTATATAAATGGAAGCATATGGTATGTGATGCTTTGGGAGTGGTTTTTGTATTCAGCAAGTTCCCTGGCGATCCAGCCAGGCTGCTGCAGGCCTCAGAGGTTCTTTCCTCTGCTGCTGAGTAGCAGTTCACGGTGTGGATGTAATGCAGTTTACACATCCATTCTCACGCTGAAGGACACCTGCGATGTTTCAAGGTTTTGACTATTTTCAATAAAGCTGCTAGAAACGTTTCTGTACAGGTTTTTGTGAACATGTCATTTCTCTAGGCTAAATGTCCAGGAGCGCAATAGCCCAAGTCACACGACAGCCCCAGGTCTAGTGTTTAAAGGAAATGGCAAACTCTCTTCCAAAGGGCTGTGCCATTTCATGCTCCCACCGGAAGCTCTGAGCAGCCCAGGCTCTTCAATTCCTGGCTAACACGTGGTGTTGTCACTGTTTTCTTTTAAATTTTTTTCCTTTTATTTTTGTTTTTAATTTTTGTGGGGGAGGTAATTAAGTTTATTTATTTATCAATAGAGGTACTGGGGATTGAACCCAGGACCTAAGCATGCGCTCTACCACTGACTTATACCTTCCCCACCTTTTAAAAAAGAAAGCCATTCTAACGGTTTGTAGGGCTACCTTGTTGTTGTTTTAATTTGCGCTTCCCTCACGGCTGGAGATGCTACTTTGGCCCCTCTTTCCTTCGCAGCTGCAACAAGTTCACCACCCCCTTCAGCAGCCCGGACCTCCCCACCACTGCACACCTGCCCCCATCTGCCGGGTCCAGAACCAGCACCCGGGTAGGGGACCAGGCTAGGGAATGCGGGGCGCACCCTTCATGGGCCCGGCCAGCCCCTCGCCGCCCAGTTCCTCCTCCTGGGGGGAGAGGAGGGAGGGGAAGAGGGGAGAGGAGGGAGGGGAAGAGGGGAGTGGGGAGGGGAGGGACCCCCTCTGCAGCAAAGATGCGACGCCAAATAACATATCCAGATTGCGAATGAGGACAGAGCCCTTAAATCTGCCTTTATCACTACAATTATTACTGCTTATTGTTTACCAAGTGCTTTCTCTTTAAATCGGCAAGGTGTAACAGCTTGGGGCCCCTATAAAACCCCAGATTTTACAGGAGGAGCGAGCTGGGCAGTAGGATCCGGCGGCCACAAGGGGGCCAGACCCTCCCGCTTTCTCGTTCGCTTGGCTGTTGCTCCCTTTTCCTGTTTGTTCGGGTTGAGAATTGCCTCCCGCCCCCTTGCGCGGAGCCCGTGCGCCCAGGAGGAGGCGGGCCTTGTTGCCTTGGCAACAGTCGGGTAACGCTGAGCAGCCGCCGCAGCAGCCAATAGAAGCGGGGGGCGGGGCCAGCCGAGTCCAGCGCTGCCACGGTGGGGGCTCGCAGGTTAGCCGACGCGCGTTTAGGGAGGGGTGCGGGGGGCGGCGTTTAGGGAGGGGTGCGGGGGGCGCGGGGGCCCTGGGGGCTGGGGTCCGCGGCCTGACCGTGGGTCCGGGCTCCCAGACTCCGGGCCTCAAGTCCTTCTTGGCCCGAGTGGGAGGAGCTGTGGGCGACGATGGCGGAGGCCTGAGGGACGCGCGGCGGGGGTCGCAGCCCGGCGTCGTCAAGGGGACCCGAGGCCCACCGCCCCGCCCAGGAGGCCCTGCTGTCCGGAGCGCCACGTGGGCTATGGGAACCGGAGGCCGGGGAAGGAGGGGAGCGGCCTTCGCGGACCCGGCTTGGAGGGCCCTAGACCCCGGACCCAGCCCCCACCCCTTTCCCGCGCCCGGACGGAACGCATCCAGGGCCCAACGGGCCGCGTGACCACCTGGCTTTCTCCGCCTTCGTATTTGTTTTCCAGGTGCGCGATCTTGCTGGCCCCCAGCGCCTGAGAAGCATGAAGCTCCTATGCTTGGTGGCGGTGGTCGCGAGTCTGCTGGTGCCCCCAGCCCAAGCCAACAAGGTGAGGGAGGGGAGCCGGGAGCTCCCGTGCGCGACCACCGTGCCTGCGCCCGGGCTCCCAGGGTGGGGTCTGCTGCTTCGGGCCGGCCCCTCACTCCCCTGTGGGCTGTTCTGGGGCGTGTTCTCTCGGCCCTGGACTGCGGGCTTCCCAAAGAGCAGGGCCGGGAGAGGGGTGGTCTGCGGGGCACAGGCCTGGATCAGACACCAGAGGCGGAATTCCAGCCAGGGTTCTGTGTTGCAGAAGTTGTCCGAGTTCTCATACCTGCTTGTGCTCCTGGATGAGAAGGGGTGGTGGTTACAGTACCTACTGCTCTCCTCCCAGCACCCGGTGATGTTAGGGGTGGCAGTGCCCTGTGCGTGTAATGTCTACACTGGTGCAAGTTGCTGGTGTTGAGGAGACCCACCTCTGTGCTGTAACTCCATGCTAGCCTGGAGATAAGTCCCATTCTTCAGGGGTAGATGGCCCAGAGCTGGGTTTGGGTAGGTCTCTGGAATTCGAGCGAGGTTCTGGAGGTCACCAAGGCTTTGAATCAGACTGAGTCAGGGTTCGCTTCCAGTCCCTCTGGGGAATTCCTGACTGGAATGAAATATTTGTGTTGTTATCTCTGGCCCAGAGGGAGAGAACTTCAGAGGGGTTGCTTGCGAGTTTCCATGGAAATGCCATTTTTTTCTGGCTCACCCCCGCCCGTTCCCCGGGAAGTTGGAGCTGGGGTTGGGGCGGAGGCTGGCCACCAGGGCTGCTAGACCCAGATACCACACAAGTGTGAGGCCCAGGGTAGAGGACTGTCACCGTGCTTGTATGTCCCCGGGTCCCCCTGCCAGGGAGTGGCGGCCCTGGGCAGCTTGCTCTGAGTCCCATTTATCTCCTCTGGACTGTTCTTGAGGACCCTTTGGTGTAGCATCCTTCCTGCAGAAGTCGTTTCTGCTGAACTTGAGGTTGGGGGAGGGTCAGGAGTGCTCACATGGTCACCTTGTGGAACAGGGGACTGAGCGTTGAGGGCCCTGCTCACCTGTTCTGTACTTTCTCCTGCAGAGTTCTGAAGACATCCGGTGCAAGTGCACCTGTCCGCCATATAGAAACATCAGCGGACACATTTACAACCAGAATGTGTCACAGAAAGACTGGTAAGATGTTGCCCAGGCTGGCCCTTGAAGTTGTGGGGCTCAGCTGGGGTTCTTGGGCCCCTGGAGAGTAAGCCTGCTCTCCCATTTCCATGGAGAACTTCACAAAGGAATGTTTTGTCCCTGGTCACACGCGCAGCTGGAAACAGGAAGCAGGTTCCAGATGTCTTTAATTCCAGCTGAGGGGTTCCTGGTCAGAGGAGTGGATCTTGTTAGTTTGCTTTGATTCAGGTGTCTATTGATATATGCAAGATGGTAGCGCAGAAGTTGAGAGAGGTAGGTATTAAGGCCACGTACTGTGGGATCCTTTGCTTGTACACTTTTGCAAAGATCTGTTACGTGGGTCATTCGGTGCCAATCTCATAACCACCTTGTAAGGTAGTGGGATAAGTTGTGTCCCCGCTTTATAACTGCAGAGATGGAGACCCAGAGAGAATTTAAATTATACTCCTGGAAACTTTTCTTTCAAGACTTGATGAAGTGTTTTTTGTTTTTTAATGGAAGTACTGGGGATTGAACCCAGGACCTTATGCATGCTAAGCATATGCTCTACCACGGAGCTATACCCCCACCGCTGCTTCTGGAGTCTAGAATTCATTTCTGGATGCCTTTAAAAAAGAGAGAAGTAATCAAAAGTTCATTAAGAGAAAGGAGACCAGCTTGCTGAAGGGAAGTTTCAGTATGTTGTCCTGGAAGGAATGGTTTAAGGAACTATATTCTGAAGAGGAGACGATTTGGGGACACACATGCCTGAAAAGATGGGAGAGGGGCTGGCATGCTCTGAGGTAGGGACACTGTGTGAATTTGGTGTAGGATGGGAGCTTCCAGGAAACAGATTTAAGCGTGAGTTGAGGAGGCATTTCTGACCAGGGTGTCTCCGGAGCTGGGGCCCCTCATCCTGGAGGACTGAGCACAGACGGGGTGGTGCCTGGGTCAGGTCGCGGTGAAAGCCATGACCTCGCGTGAGGGAGCGGTGCGGGGGGACAGGTCAGCGTCACCTCCACTTGTCTGTGCGTCAGGACCACCAGGTGGGCTTCGAGAAAATACAGAAAATCCCAGTGCCTCCTCCCTCGTGATTCTGGGGTTCTTTTTGTTGTTGTTGTTTTCCCCAGCTTGAGATAAACCAGACAGAGAACCTTGTGTGAGGCTCAGATGGACAGCATGATGACTGGATACACGTGTTGTGAAATAAGGTTAACACGTCCATCGCCTCACATAAGTACCGTGTGTGTGTAGGCGGGTGAGAACGTTCATGACCTACTCTGAGCAACTTTCAAGTGTATGATACAGTATTATGAACCATAGTCACCGTGCTGTGCATCAGATCCCCTCCCCTCCAGGTTTGGATTCAGTGACTTCGTGGGAAGTGGGGCACGGCAGTAACTTTTTCTTAAATAGGTGACAGTGATGCACTTGGCCCAGAGCAGCGCTTGGGACTTTGAGCCCGTCCAACTCGGAGATGGTCTGAGCCAGTTGGTTAGAGGCACAGACTCTGGACCCAGCCTGCCTGGCTTCACATCCAGCTTTGCCGCTTGCTCACTCTGAGGCAGTTACTTAATCCCCAGTGTGTTTCCGTTTCCTCCTCTATAAAGTGGTGGCAGTGTTTTGAGTATTAGTGAGCGTGTGCATGTGTGTGTGCGCGCACACGCGATGCATGTACAAGTAAGAGTAGCGCTAGAGCAGCTCCTGGCAGGAGTGAGAGCTGTGGAAGTATCGCTGGTTTCAGTAGCGCTGCATACTCTCATGCCTTCCTGGAGGCCACCAAGATCGTCATCGGCCGACTTACAGCACAGCCCCGGACGCTTGGGCTCCCCAACGGTGCTGGGCGGGCTCCCTCTGTCTCTGCCGGTCCTGATGGAGACACGAAGCCCTAAGATGTGGAGTCATGGGAGAGCCCATGTGACCTCCTGTTATCTTTTCTTCCTTTTTTAATATCAGCTTTATTGAGCTATAACTCATGTAATCATAAAACTTACCCATTTTAAATCTACAATTCAATGGGCTATAGTATATTCACAAAATTGCACAGTTATTACCACAATAAATTTTAGAACATTTTAATCACTTCAAATAGAAGTTCCATGACGACACAGTCACTGCCCGTCCCTCACTTGCCCGCCCTGGCAGTCACCAGTCTGCTTTCTGTCTCTCATTTTGTCTCTTCTGGACGTTTCATGTAAATAGAATCACACCATACGTGGTCCTTTGTGACTGGCTTCTTCCAGTGAGCTTAATGTCTTCAAGGTTCATCCCGGTTGGAGCATGTAATAGTATTTTGTTCTTTTTCATAGCTGCATAATATTCTGTTATATGGCTCTACCACCTTTTGTTTATCTACTCTTCAGCTGATAGGCATTTGGGTTGTTTCATCTGTTTGGTTATTATGTGACCTCTTGTTATCTTGTGGTTACAGTTCAAATAGGGTTAGGAAATACACTAGACTGTTTCAAGCCCACTCCAGATAATAAGGCTACACCCCACAGGCACCAGCCAGCACTGTCTCTGCCCTTGGGTCAGAGTAAGGCCTCAAAACCCAAGTAAGGATGCCCGCAGAGACGAGTCCTGCCCGGCCCTCTCAGGCTGTGGTTCACCTCCTTCCCCTGAGAAGGCAGCGTTCGGGGGAGCCAGGCACAGCAGAGATATTCCAGCTCCTCGCTTGCTGTCTTTTACCCTCGGTCACAGGATCCCATCTGAAGGCCTCAGGTTGGCCCCTCCCAGCTGCCCCCAACCCCCTACCTTGCCTCGTGGGGAACCCACATGTCCCACTGGCACACCAGAGCGACCCTCCAAATGCAGGGAGGAATCTGGGCCTCGGGAGGCGTGTAGAGGCTCCTGGAGAGGGGGGACCCAGAAGTGGTGTCCCAGCACAGGGTGTGGACCTGGCCCTTCCGTTGACCCCTGCCCAGGTGCAGCGTTTTTTTAGAGCCGGGAGCCACGTGCCCAGGCTGGACCTGGGTCATCAGAGGTTCAGGTAGAATCACACCTGCCACATGCTGGACCTTCAGGGGAGGACACGCCATCCTGCCTCTGCTGGAAACCCAGCCCCAGGCCAGAGGGATGTCAGGGATTGAGTTAGAGCTGGGAGGGCCTGGAGGGTCACCTGGTGCAACCACTGCAGCTCCCAGAGGAGAGACAGGCCCAGGGCACCGGGTCTTGGTGGCAGGGCTTGGCTGAGACAGCAGTGGGAGAGAAGAGGGAGGCGGGTTTCAGAAATGCTTTAGGAGGCAAAGTCCTGGTGTTGGCTGGATTCATGGGTGAGAGGACAACAGGGTCAGAGTTGGTTCCAGGCTTGACCTGGTTGGAGGAGGTGCTGGTGGAGGTGCTTCTGCCCCAGGACAGACCCCAGAGCCGTGTATGGGCCTGGGGGTGGTGGGGTGGACACTCACGTGGTGAGTCAGGTCAGAGTGGAGGAGGGGCCCTGACCAGGGGTTCTCGTCTAGGACACATCAGCTTCTGCCTTGACTCTTTGAGGGGAGGAGCCCCCAGGGAGAGGGCAGCGGAGGGCAGGACCTGGGGAACGTGGGCCTTTACAGTGCCAGCACCTGCCCTGTGGAGCCTTTCTGACGGGCGGGGGCGACGCTGTGAGGCTGCGGGTTGGGAAAGGGGTTCTGCCAGCCTAGCCCTTCAGAGACCCTCTGCTCCCTGGGGAGCCCCTGCCGACCCCACAGCCCTCTGTCTTGCAGCAACTGCCTGCACGTGGTGGAGCCCATGCCAGTGCCCGGCCATGACGTGGAGGCCTACTGCCTGCTATGCGAGTGCAAGTATGAGGAGCGGAGCACCACCACCATCAAGGTGCCCCTGGGCCCCGCCCCCGCCCGGAGCCCCGCCCACCTTCCCCGCCCACAAGGGAGGCCCCGCCCTTCCCCTCAGCTCGGCCCGCCCACCCTGGAGGCCCCTCCCCGTCTTCTACCGTCTTGCTTCATGCAACCTGCTTCAAGCTAGCCTTCCATGTGGCTGTTAGGCTGTCTCCGAGGCTGGCCTGGTCACAGCGCAGGGACCCCTTCCTCACCCCCTCTTGGAGCCTCTCTCCCCTCTGACGCCAGCACACTTGCAGGGGGACCTGGGAGAGTGCTGGAGACCACTTCCCTCCACTTTTCCCATTTGCTCTTTCCCCTCTCTCCTTCATTTCATTCAGTGGACATCCCTGGGTGCCAAGCAGGATGCTGGGAGAAGAGGTACCCGCTCTCGGGAACCTCCAGTCTAGTTAAGATCCCCAAGTGACCCCAGACCCCAGGAGAGGCTCTTCAGAGCTGCCCCCCCGGGGCTGGCGGGATGAGCCATACCCGCTCCCTTTACTTTTCCTTGAACCTTGATCTGTGGATCATCAGGTGAATTCTGGGCAAGTGGTAGAGTGGCCCCCAGCACGGAGTGGGAATGGGGAGAGGTCTAGTCCCTTCCTCCGCCTCCAGGCAGGGCTTGCCGGATGAGGGCCTCTAGCCAACTTGTCCCCAGCCCACCCTGCTCTCCTAGTCCAGACTCTAGCCATTGTGATCCAGGCTGCACTTGCTGACTTTGAACATAAGCCCTTCTTGGTCCAGCCTTTAAGCTTGTCTCCCTGTGTCCTGTGAAGAGCCTGCAGGTAGCATCAGTAAAGGACTGTCAGCAACACCACTGCATCCACCATCAGGCTTCCCTTTCAGGCTGGGCTCGTTTGGAGGAGGGGTGAGGACCACTGTCCTCCCTGCCTGGACCAGCGAGCCTGTCCTGTGGTGCACTTCACGGTGGGCACGGCTGCTCGTGCACCCACCCCACCACTGCCCCTTCTCCCTCTCTGAGCTTGATCCATGGCCCCATCCTCGGGACCAGGTGCCCAAGGCCTTAAATTCAAGCCAAATGTCGCCTCTCCCTGTTTGACTGGGAAGGGGCTTCCCGACCTGGGGCCCTCATCGGACACACTTCCTAATCCCCCAGTTTCCCTCTGGTCCTTTCCTCTGAGAGATCCCCCCAGCTTCCGCCTGTTAGAGACTCCGTCCCCATCCCCTCTTCCCTGCTCGGGTACAGGCAAGAGGTCTTTACCTTCACCCTGTCTAGAGCTGCCCCAGTCAGGGAGGGAGCTGGTCCAGCTGGACTTGGCTGTGGACTGAGCTCATCCCCCGTCACAGTCAGTGTACACGCCAGGCTAGGATTGGAAGCCAGGGACGGCCAGGTGTTGGGGCGCAGGAAGGGTATTTGAGGTGTGGTCCTCAAATCTGAGCTCAAGCCACATCCGCCACGTGGTAGCCTTGGGACCGAGGGTGATGTGGCCTGGGGGGTCTGCATCAGGTGAGTGTCAGCCCCCCAGGGGACACTTGAAGATGGGCTGAGCTGCCTCTGTGGCCCTGGTATCTGAGGTGTGTTACTAACCGGCTAACATCTTGGGGAGTTCCGCCTAAGGTCCCCGTAGCACGCACGTTGAGAAGCAGTGAATTAGCCTCCTTAACGCTATCTTTACTGTAAAACAAAAATGACTCCAGCTTGCAAGGCTCTCCAAGTAGGTAAGAAGTTTGAGAAGTTGTCTCTCTGCCCCTGGCCGCATCTCTGCGTGGTCCAGACTGAAGCTTCCAGCGCAGCTTGCCTTCAGTCGGGCTGGGTTCTTCCCGCTCTGACTGGTCCGATCGCTTCCCCGCCGTCTGGCTGGGTAGGTTCCCTTCCCCTGCTCTCCAGCCCTGGGGTCCTGGTGTGTCAGGACCCAGGCCTCTCCCTTCATCACCGGTCATCTTCATGCTGCCAGAGAACTGGTGGCTCTTGCGGGGCCCCCTCCATCAGGGGCCGTCAGTACCTGTGGAGCCGGCATCCCTGCCCTGCCCAGCTTCTCCACGCCCGCAGGGGCTCCTGGCCCTTCCCCACGCAGCACTTGAGGCCACGGCGCCGTTGAAGGTGGACCGCACCGGGGAGGAGCGGCGGTGTTGGTGCACAGGATGAGCGAGGTCTCTCCGCAGGTCATCATCGTCATCTACCTGTCGGTGGTGGGTGCCCTCCTGCTCTACATGGCCTTTCTGATGCTGGTGGACCCTCTGATTCGAAAGCCGGATGCCTACACTGAGCGACTGCACAACGAGGAGGAGAATGAGGTACTGGGCTCCGGGTGTGGCCCCGCCGGTCCCTCCGCCTGTGCACAGGGTCCAGTGTGTCCTTAGCGGGGAGCTGCCCTTTGCACGCCCAGACGCAGCGGAGGGTGGCCCTGAGTTTTCCCTGATCCGGTGCCAGGCAGCCTCGGTGCACAGGCTGGGGATACGTCTTCCTGTCACACTGCGTTTCTGGCAGAGGGGAAGTGAGCCTGCCAGTCAGCCGCACGTAGGTGCTCAGGCCTCAGTGTCAGGGTGGCGGTGGACTTGGAGAGGGCACCTGGCGAGTCTGGGACACACTGCAGGGGAAGCCCAGGGCAGGGCCAGAGGAGGTGGGAGCAGCTCTCTGTGGGAGTGAGAGGTGATGTGTGCCGTGCAGCAGCCCCCAGAGCAGTGACGGTGACCGTGCCGGGGGTCCTGACCTGCGCAGCCGCCATGTGTGCTGCCCACGTGAGTGAGGAGGGTCGCCCCAAAGTATCTGCAGGCAGGTGTGGCTCAGGACGCTTCCTGCCCCGGGGACGGGCTGCGCCAAGGTGCAGAGGGCACGGGCACGCCTCCCTGCTGCTAGAAGATGGCCCTGAGTTCATCCCTGGAGGGAGGGAGGGCTGGAGGGTAGGGACTGCTGGACTGGCTTGCGTACAAAGGGGCACCTGGTGGTGGACGGCCTGACCAGGCCCGGGGAGAAGTGGTTGAAGAGACTGAGAGGTGTTTAGCTTGAAAGAAAAACAAAATCCAGACTCAGGAAGCCTTCCAGTGTTTGCAGAAGAGAGCTCGGCCCACCCTGGTTCTCAGGACCGCAGCCCGGAGCTGTGAGGGAGCTTTAACACCCATGAGAGGGGGTCTTCCTGCAGGTGACCCGGTCGAGCCGGGGGCAGGCGGGCTCCCTGGTAAGGTGGAGAGTGGATCAGTCACCACTGCGAGCGCCTCACACTGGGCTGGAGCTGGGGAAAGCGGATTCCCACTGAGACGAGGATCTGGGGCTCAGACCTCAGCGTGAAGCTGCCCAGCCTGTGTGAGGCCAGGGAGTAAGGGGGGCCGAGCCCGTCCATGTCCCGTCCGTGGTGCCTTCCGGGACCGCTCCAGCCTGCCCCAGCCTCCTGCCGACGTGTTTGGCCAGAAGTGGGGCCGGCAGTTGGGTGGTCTGTGTCCAGGAGGAAGCCTCGAGCGCCAACCTGGTTATTAATGTGCTGTAATAGCAGCCCTGCTGGAGGAGGAGTGGCGCTGATGAGCGCTGGGCGATTAGGGGATGTGCTAATTGCAGTGCTGCCTGGGGAGTGACTGAGAGATGGCGATGATTACACGGCTCTACTGGTCCCTGGAATTCGAGGCTCCTGGGCAGGGCATGGCCTCGCATCTCCTGCCTCCTGGCTATGGACCCTGGGTGCCGCCCCTCCCTCCACTCATCCCCTCCCCGTCTCTCTTCCTCCTGCTGTACTCAGGTCCTACAGGTGCCCTGTGTAGGTGCACAGACCTGGGGTCCCCTGTGGGGTCTGAGCCCCAGGCAGAGCCACAGCCGGGGGTGTGCAGGGTCCGGCGGGGAGAAGCTGGGTGCTGGGGGCTCCTTACCAGACGGGCGCTGGGGACTTAGTCCTCCTGGTGTCGTGTAGGAGAGGACTTCCAGGCAGCTGGGCCCCTCAGAGAGCAGTGGTGGGGGGTAGGGGGAGAGGGGCCGCTCAGGCGCTGCGGCTAAACAGAACAGAGACAGTGCGGGCACCTGCCACCCCGAGCAGCGCCCGTGGGGAGCCTGGGCCTGAGGCCAGGAGAGGAGGCCCTGTGGCCTCTGCTGGGCAGAGCAGAAGCAGGCTGAGGCTGTGTGCCTGGGTTCACTGTGGTCGTGGGAGTGCTCACCTTGAGAAGGCTGGAGTCCTCCCGGGGCGGGGGCTAAGCTTCCACCCCAGAGGAAGGAGGTCAGGTTCTAGGCCTGTGCAACGCAGTGACCTTGAGGAGAGGCTCCCCTCCCTGGCCCGAGAAGTCAGGTATCAAAGGTGAGATCCGGGGGTTGATCACGTCCCGGGATGGGGGCCCCTTGGCTCCGTCCCCCCAGCTCCTGCAGCCAGGAGCTCCTGCCTGGGGTGGGAGGACAGAGAGGAAGGGGTGGAGGGGATGAAAGGCTCGCTCCCTTTGAAGGCTCCGCGGGTCTCGGTGGGCCCGAGTGCCGGGCGCGGCCTCCCCCAGGATTCCAGCAGCATTAGGGCTAATCCCTGGGCTCAGACGCCCTTTGAAAGGAGGAAGCCAGCGTGTTTGCTGGGCAGAAACGGCAAACAGAGCGTTAGATGTGAAGGTCTGGGCCCCTTTGAAGAGGGAGAAGGAAGGGTTTCTGTGAGGTGCTGGGTGTGTCTGCCCCTCACTGCGTGGGCCTGCGCTCTGCCGGGTCCCCCAGTATCGCAGCCCACCAGGCGGGGTCGGGGTCAGGAGAGGGGTGTGCAGCAGGGATGATGTGGTGGCTGCTGGGGACGGGAGAGGACTGGGGAGAAGAGGGCGGCTGGGCAGACGGGGCAGCGGGGAGCCCGGGAGAGCAGGGGAGGCGAGGCTGGACGTGCGGTCCTGCCAGCCCAGGGCCTTGAAAGCCAGACTTCGGAGACATCGGTTCGGATCCTGGCTCAGCTCCTGAGCAGCTGTGTGACCTTGGGCAGCGAGTGATTCATCTCTCAGAGCCTCGGTTCCCTCATCTGCAGATGAGAACACCGCTGCCCCACGCCAGTCTCGGGAACCTGGGAACAAGCCGAGTGAGGCGCCGGTGAGCGCCTGGTGCCCAGTGACATGGTCCTGCTGGCCCGTGGGACCCAGGCTTGCCTCCCCTGTCCTCACTGCCCGAGGCCTGGCCTCAGAGGGAAGAGGGTTGAAAGTGTGGTATTTCCCGCTGCAGAGCTGGGAGGCCCCTCTGGGCGTCTCTAGAGCAGATGTGGGGTCTAATACCCGTTAATCAGGCTGTTAGCCCTGGAAGCGCGGAGCCTCTCAGGCGCCACTTCCCTGACTTAGGAGCTATTTGTCAAGACTTTACATGAAGGGAAGACGAGTGATGCTGTGGTAACGCCATGAATTTCCACTTGTTCCCTTAATGCGCGGCTCCCGTCAGGAACGGGTCTGGAGGGAGGTGACCTTTCAAAGGCCTCCCCACGCCGGCAGCAGGCGGCCAGCTCTCCCGACCCTGCCTGGGAGTCCCAGAGCTGGGTCTGGTCCTCACGGTTGCTGCTGTGAAATGCGCGCTTGCCATCCGCCAGGCGCCCCTGAACGCTTTGCACTCGTCACCCCTCGGGAGCTGCTCCTTTAGGCGCTGTCTGTGGAGGGAAGCAGGCTCAGAGGACGGTGACCTGCCCGGGGTCCTGTCCCAGTGGGTGTCAGAGCCTAGAGGCAAAGCCAGGTTTGTGTGATTCCAAGGTCTCCTTTCCACTGCGGAAGCAAAACACTTGGTGGGCTCCGTCTGTGACAGCCGGTGTCCTAAGGACTTCACTCACGGATGCTTCTGGACTTAACCTGGCTGCACTTGTCTCCTGTTGTTTGAAAGTGTGGGTCATCACCCATTAGGGCATGAAATCAAGGTAGCAATTCTTGACCAGCGTTGGGAAAAAATGGGACGGAGCAGAGAATGTCCGAGTGCGTCACACCGAGTGTTGTGTGAAACCGTGTGCGCGCTCAGTCATCAGGTGAATGAAATTTCGGCCGACAGTGTGGTCAAAAAAGTCTAAGAAGACAGGCTTTATTAAATTGAAGCTCGGAGAATTAAAGTTGCTTGTCAGGATCACACAGCTGCTCAGTGGCCAAGACCAGGAGAAGGTGCCTCCAGAGCCCAGGCGTAGAGCCCAGGCTTCCTGGCCCCGAGGGAGCGTGGCCCCACCCGGCGCTGCCTCTCCGGGTTTGCTGTGGTCCTCACCTAGCCTGGCCCAGTGGCTTCCTCCGGGCCCAGGCAGCGGGCTCCGGGGGGCAGTGTCCATCTCTAACTCACCTGGGGCAGCCAGCCCTCGGCCTCCCCTCCCCTGCCTCCCCTCCCATCTCCCTAGCCAGGCAGCTGCCTGGTGACAGAAGCTGTGCCAGATCGGGGCATGAGAAGTGGAGTTGAATTTACTGGGCGACTCTGGGTTTAGAGAGGTGCGCTAATCCCTTAAGAGACGTGTGGCAGGAGATGAGAGGCCCCGAGAGCTGGGGAGGAAATCCCCGCGGGCTGCGGGCCCGGCCCTCGGCTGATTCCCCCCAGAGATCAGCTTCGGGTCCGCAGGAAACGCACGGGCTCTGAGCTTCCGAGGCAGAGAAGTGGTAATTAGGGAAGATGCTGCCTTCCAGCCAGGGGAGGGGGACAGGGGGAGGAACTGAGTTAGCTTGGGGTGTTGCGAGAGTGGCCGGAGCCGTGAAGGGCAGGCGCCAGCTCTGTCCCTGCCGGGCTCCCTCCTCCCAGGGGGCAGGGAGTGAGCTGGGGGTCCTAGCCCCGGGCAGAGCAGGTCCCAGGGGTGTCTCTACTGGCCCCGGGCAGTGGCTGGCAGGGCCCTGGAGTTCTGAGCCTGGTGCCTCCCTGGGGGCACTGGGTCCATTTCCTCAAACCACAGGATCCTCCATGCTGGCCAGGGGAGGCCTGACAGGGCACCCCCTTCCCAGGCCCCAGGGAGGGGCAGGCCTGTCCTGCAGAGTCCGGGGTCCTGAGCACCAGTGCCAGGTGCACAGTGCTTGCTGGGCCCTCGGGGAGGTCCACCTCCAAGGCGGTGGAAGGCCAGACTTTGGGGCTGCTCTCCCAGCATTTTCACCTGGGCTTGAGGTACGAAGCCTCTGCTTTTTCTTCCCGGACAGGACACTCGTTCTGCGGTGGCCTCGGCCTCCTTCGGGCCCCGGGCGAACACAGTCCTGGAGCGTGTGGAGGGCGCTCAACAGCGGTGGAAGCTGCAGGTGCAGGAGCAGCGCAAGACGGTCTTCGATCGGCACAAGATGCTCAGCTAGACGGCGGTGCAGCCAGGTCACCGGGGTGTGGCCAGGTCACGGTCACAGCAAGGACCGCAGGCCGCAGCGGCCCGCCTCCCGGCTGGGCGGAGCCAGGGCCTCTCCTTCCCCTCGGGGCCGCCTTCCCTTTAAAAGGGGCTTCCCTTCAAAAGCCCCAGACATTTTTCCTTCTCCTTCTCTTTAGAAATGTCATGCTTGGCTGGTTAGTTCAGGAAGAATGAGGGTCCATGGTCCCTGGTTTGCCTGCTCAGGTGGTCTTTGGGTGGAGGGAAGGGGACGACAGGGCAGGAGGGGCTGGGGGGCGGTCTCAGGACAGGAGCTTCCCCCTGCCACCATCCCAGCTCAGCCTCACCCTCGCCCTCAGGACGGCCCCGTGGGGTCACACCTGGACACCGTTCCATGCCCTCGCCTACTCCGCCGCCTGGCCCTGGCTCCACTCCAGAAGCCGGGTGGCGCCCCCGCCCCCGCGCCGGCCTGCAGTTGCCGGGCCTGGCGGGCCCCGAGGCTGTGCTCTGAGCACCTGGGTCCTGCTCTCAGATCACCACCTGTCCTTGAGCTTCCTTGTACCAGTGCGCGGAGAAAGGTCATCCTCGCCTTGTCTGTAAATCAAGGAGGCACCATTAAACTGTCATTCTTCTCACTTTGCAGACGTCACGAGACTTAGAGAACCGAGTGTACTACAAGTGACCCAGTGAGCACGGGACCCAGAGAGGGGATGAAAGCATTGTCCTGGTTGGGTCCAGGCAGAGGGGCGGGGCCCGGACGGTCCAGGGGCTGTGGCAGCGCCCACGGAGGGCAGGGGCCGACCCGAGTTTATTTGCATTTCATCTTTGTGTGGGTCTCCTGAAACTGAACAGCGTCTGACATTGACGTCCTACAACTCACAAAACGGTGCTCGCTGCAAAGCTCGTCTGTTTCCCCAAATGAAAACCAGCAGATGCTCAGAGAGGGGTGGGGGCAGCCTGGGAAAAGCGCTGCAGGGAGAAGGGCCCCTGGGGAGCCCAGCTCCAGGTGGGCTCCATCCCTCCCGAAAGTGGGGTGCGGGGTGCGTCCGGGACCCGGGCAGAAACAGGGACCCGGGGCGTCCAGTTGGATCTGATGGAGTCTCGGTCCAAATCGGTGTGTCCAGAACCTCTGCGTGGAGCCCCAAGCCGGCTTCTTGGCGAGGTGGGCATTTTACTTTGCAAAGTGCGCCCGAGTTCAGGGCCAGCTGCGGG